TTCTTTCAAAAATTACTGATTTTTTCTTCATATTCTTTTTAGAATATTTTCATCTAAGGCCAGTCACGGTGACATACTCCTGTAATCCCAGCACTTTGGGAGGACAAGGTAGATGGATCACCTGAGGTCAAGAGTTTGAGACCAGACTGGCCAACGTGGTGAAACCCCGTCTCTACTAAAAATACAAAAATTAGCCGGGCATGGCACATGCCTGTAGTGCCAGCTACTCAGGAGGCTGAGGCAGGAGAATTGCTTGAACCTGGGAGGTGGAGGTTGCAGTGAGCCAAAATTGTGCCATTGCACTCCAGCCTGGGTGACACAGGGAGACTCCATCTCCAAAAAAAAAAAAAAATTTATCTATTTTTATGAGTAAGATCGACCCATATTATTTTTAAAAAACTTTATTACATTTGATATTAAGGTTATGCTGGTTTTATTGAATGTATTGGGGAGTTTTCAGTCTTTTCCTACGGCATTCTATGTTGGTAAAGTAACATTGGAATAAAGGATAGCTAAATAAAACTGAGCTATGAACCTTTCTTGTCCTAGTTCCTTGTGCAGTAATAGCTTTTATCACCTTCTGAAACCTTTCTGTAATAATTGCCCTGTTAAAGTTTGCCACTTCTTGGGTGGGTTTTGGAAGTTTATTGTTTGCTTAGAAAATCATCCATTTCTTTTGCGTTTCCAATTTTTTGCCAAAGAGTTTCGTGAGGTATTTACATATGCTGCTTTTAATCTCTGCTTTCTGTTATCAAAAGAGCTTTTGTATTTTTTTTTTAAAAAATCTCTTTCTGTGGTATTCATTTTACTTTTTATTTTCATTATATCTCTGTTCCTAGTTTCCTTCGCTAGAGCACTTAGTTTCTTGTTTCAAAATAAAGGCATTTCATGTTAAACATATTCCTCTGGAGAACTTTCCCAGCGTTGGAAGGTATTAATACAAAGCATTTTTCTTTTGTATTTACAGATGGTTCTCATTTTTCTTTGTGATTTCTTTAACTTTTGGCTACCTTTACCATTACCTCCTGATTTTCTTGTATTATTATTAGTATTGTCCGAGAATGTGGCCTATAATATTTTTTTAAATTTCATTAAGGTTTTTTTTGGTGTGTGGCCAGCATGATTGTTTAATATTAATATTTAACAAAGGAACAATGCATATAGATGGATGTATACTCTTGTCAAGAGAAATAAGACTGTGAAGTAAAGTGTATTTTGCCGAAGTTTGCTACAAGTAGTGTATAGCTAAGTTCTGTTTTTTATTCAAATTGGACTAGTTTCCATCTTTTAATGGAAGATTTGGTCATTTTTTGTATAATTACTAATATACTTCATTTTATTCCTTCCATCTTATTTTGTGTTTATTATTTAATCAAATTGTTCCTTCTTTTTTTCTTTTCTAATTTTTGCTGGTTTGTAAGGTGCCATTCTATTTTCACTCCTGCCACCAAACCCAGTTAATTTGGGAGATCAGCTGGGGTTTTGCATTCCATTAATGCTTACCTTCTATTTTCTTAGGCTCATAACCAGACACATTCTCTACTGTTATTTGAGAATATAATTTTCCTTGATGTTTTCTCTACTACTTCACTGTGTCGTCATAATGATGATGAAGTCTTTAGAATACCTTCACTTTCCCCTGGTGTTACTTGTTCCCTCTCCCTGCCAATGGGAATATTAAAACAATTTCATTTCCTTCTTACTCTTCCTTCTTGATTTATTCATTTATTGAATAAATAGTTTTGAGTACCTTCTAAGTGTCAAGTAATGTTGTAAGAGTAATTTTTTTTTTCTGAGACGGAGTTTTTTGTGGCAGTGGCACGATCTCAGCTCACTGCAACCTCCACCTCCCGGGTTCAAGTGATTCTCCTGCCTCAACCTCCCACATAGCTGGGACTGCAGGCACCCATCACCACACTCAACTAATTTTGGTATTTTTAGTAGAGATGGGGTTTCACCCTGTTGGCCAGGCTGGTCTCAAACTCCTGACCTCAGGTGATCCGCTCACCTCAGCCTCCCAAAGTGGTGGGATTACAGGCATGAACCACTGTGCCTGTCCTGTTGCAGCAGTATTTTATATACAGCAGTGAACAAAACAGGCAAAAATCCCTAATCTCATTGGCCTTACATTCCATTTTTGCTGAAATTATCTAATAGTTTTAGTTCAAGTCTATATTGGAATTTGTTTTACTATGTCTCTTCTGTTTCATGAACCCTTATATACCCCTGTATCCATTACCAGTCAGTCTTCCTTTATCTACTTAAAATTAATTATGCCCATATTGCAAAGTACTCACCATGGTTTACTCCTCATATTCATTTTCCCGTATCTTGAGATCTCTGTTTTTAGCCATTTACTAGTATGTTAGTATCATTTCTTGATTATTTTCCCTGGTGGGCTATCAGAGTCACAGATATTCTCACATATTCGATTAATATAAAAAATACATTCAAAGTGCTTTTTCTATTCTCTCATTCAACAACAGTTCACACAGAAGACTTACTTCACCACGTGTAGGGGATTTCTCTATTTGGAGTTGCCATCAGATCTCACAGGTTGAGGGCGCAGTCTCCAAGACTATCCCCAACTCCCCACCTGACCCCCTTCAGACAATAGTTGCAAGTCCAGGCCTACAGAACTTCTGACCAACTGGCTTCAAGTTAGGGTTCCTGTGACCCTCTGCTTAGGTTTGATTAATTTGCTACAGCAGCTTATAGAACTCAGGGAACACTTAACCTTGTGTTTATCTGTATGTTATAAATTATATTACAGAATATACAGATGAAGAGATACATAGGGCGAAGCACGGGAGAAAGGGTGTGGAGGCATGCTGTGTGTTCCAGCTATCCAGAAGCTTTCTGAACCTTGTCTTTTTAGATATCCAACTGGATAGACATAATTGATAACCATTTTGTAATTGAACCAGAAGGGTATGGTCTAACATTAATAGACTGAGTAGGAAAACCTAGCAAGCCTGTCTGTTCAGATTCTTCTTAGCCTCTCTGTGCCACATTCCTTCCTCCAGGGTGTAGGGCAGGTCCTCATCTGGAATGTGGTCTTAGGACCCACAGTCAGAAAGGCCATGAAAGATTAGAGTACTGCTGTGGGGTAGGTGAAAGGAGGACAGGGGAAGGTTAGAGAGTTTCTATTTTCTAAAGCCTAAAGTGCCTCAACATTATAACAAAAGACTATATAACAAGGGCTGTGGTAGTTATATGCCAGGAACCATCTACAAAAAACAAAATATAATAAAGATCAGAATATCACATGTCTTTCTTCCTGAAAGAAGAATAGTATTTGGGCTGAGATAGAATTCTTATTTTCTAAGAGTTTAGCTTCAGTTCTGCCACCTTGAAGATTTTATTGTTGCAGGTTAATGTCCAAATCTACTCTCATTTTTTTCATTTGTAGGTAATTTATTCTTTGTAAATTTTTTTATTAGTTCTCAAATTTTAGTGGAATTTTGTAGATGTATCTGTGTCTTTTCTTGTCAGTTTGACCTAGATTTTAAAAGTTAGCTGTTTTAGTCAGCAGACTAAATTTTTTTCTTATACAGTTTCTGGAAAATTTCTTCATTATTTATTGTCTCTCTGCAATCTATTTCTCTCTTTCTTAAGGAATATTTTTTTTTTTCTGATTCTGTTCTCTAATTTTCTTTTTCTTTCTTTTTTTTGGAGATGGAGTCTCATTCTGTCTCACAGGCTGGAGTGCAGTGGCACGATTCTCATGCTTCAGCTTCCTACGTAGCTGGGACTATAGGCGCGTGCCACCATGCTGGGCTAATGTTTGTATTTTTTAGTAGAGATGAGGTTTCACCATGTTGGCCAGGCTGGTCTTGAACTCCTGACCTCCAGTGATCCTCCTGCCTCAGCCTCCCAAAGTGCTGGGATTACAGGCATGAGCCATTGCACCCAGCCCAAATTTTTTATCTTTATGATTTCACCTCACATTTTTAGCTATGCTTTGCATATTACTTGATTTTCTGAGATAACTCTCAAAAGCAACTGTACGCTGAGTTTCTCTTGTATTTTTTAGTTATCATGTTTTTGTTTTAACTTCAGAAAGTCTTTTTGTGCTGAACTTGAATCTCCTTAAAGAGCTCTTACTTCTTTCATTAAAGTCAAAATGGATTATTATTGTTTTATTTTTACATCAGTGCTCACTCAGCTTGGGTTATTTGTAGTATTCCACATGGCCTCAGTCTTGGAAGTGCTGTGAAGTAGAATAATCTAATTCACAGGCCAGTGTTCTATAGAAGTACCTAAAAGGAAGGCTTTTGTTTCCTGGACTCTTTTATTCCTCCAGCCTCAATGGTAGGGAGGATCCACCTCACCTGTCTAGCTACTTCTCGCTTTTCTGGGGTCAAACGCTACAGGCAATCTCACATAATGTTGTCATCCTCACTCTTAAAGTTCTTTGCTTTCCTATTCTTAGCTCAGAACTTCGTGAAACTAATCTCCAAGTGAGAAAATGAAGTTCTGCTTCCTTTCGGCAAGGCCAAAGACTTCACTTACATCCAGCCAGCTACCTTATGACACAGAAGCCTTTTGGCTTAGGAATGCAGCTGCATTGAAGTGAGGGCTATAGAGAAAGAGAGCTATGTTCAGGTCACCACCTTCCCAGATTCCACCTCATCCGTGGTCCTGTTATATAATTTTATTATTTTTATAAATCAAAAATTCAATAATACTTTTGCCATCTATAAGGTAGTTGAATTCTATTTATGCTGAACTTCCTTATACTTGATCTGTATTCTTGCAAGTAAGATAGGCTTGGAAAAAATATTGAAAAATTATTACATCATCAATTCCTGGGAGACTGGATAGAGAGAGGATTCCTAATGAAGGAAAATCTAGACTTAGAAGTCCGAATTTTACACTAGAATAGCACCTTTGTTTTCACTATTAATTTAGAAGAGAGGCTTAGCCTTGGAGGCCAACTTTAATTTTATTGAAAACTTTATGATTTTGTTAATTTCCTGTCTTGTTTCTCTTGCCAGGTGGTGTGGGGATGATGTGCTCATTGAGTGAACAAGGGAAGCAGCTAGCTATCCAGGTGTCTAATATCCTGGGGATGGACGTGTGTGGCATTGACCTGTTGATGAAAGATGACGGCTCCTTCTGCGTCTGTGAGGCCAATGCAAATGTAGGTTTCATCGCCTTTGATAAGGCTTGTAATCTAGATGTAGCTGGTATCATAGCAGACTATGCCGCCTCCCTTCTACCCTCTGGCCGGCTCACCCGGCGTATGTCCCTGCTCTCCGTGGTGTCCACGGCCAGTGAGACTAGTGAGCCGGAGCTGGGTCCCCCAGCCAGCACTGCTGTTGACAACATGAGTGCAAGTTCCAGCTCTGTTGACAGCGACCCTGAAAGCACGGAGCGAGAGCTGCTCACCAAGCTCCCAGGGGGCCTGTTCAACATGAACCAGCTGCTAGCCAATGAAATCAAACTACTGGTGGACTGACTCCACTGGTAATTAACCAACAAAACCCTTGTAAACCTTTCTTTCTTTTTTTCTTTACTATTTTTAAAACCAACTTGCAATGCTGTTCATGGAGGATGCTCAGGAAGATGAGAGAAAATTAGTAGGATTAGTTGGAGGCAGTGGGAGATAGATGAGACCTCTGCTAATAAGATGTTACTTTCATTTACAATTCCTACAAATAGAGAGGCAGAATAGGTGGGATATAGAAAAATGTTAGGCTCTCATAGTTACCCTTTTAAATTGCTAAAAAAATTTGTATGCTCATAGGCCATGAGGAACATATACTTTTATTTTTATGGTTCCTTGCTTTTGTTTTTGTACAAAAAATGATTTCGCTACAAATATCCAAGTAGCATAACTTCACATTGTGTTGCAAAATATGTCATCAGTGAGGAAAACATCTGTCTAAATTACAGGAATTCTTGTATTATATAGCTCTTAAAATTCTGCCATTTCCTTATTAGTAGCTTTAGTTTATAGTTTATGAAATCTTGAGGGGCTCTTTTACTGGGATTTCTTATTTTTGTGTTTTGTTTTTTCCCCCTTAATTTGGTGGGAGGGTCAAAGTGAATATAACCTAATAAAGGCTTCTTAATGACAAAATTGGCATGTTTGCATGATGAAATGGAAATGAACAGTATTGCAATGTCCGGTATACAAAATAACATTTATTCAATGTAGATAAAATTACACTAGTTTAAAATGTGCATTGACTTGTATTTGTTAGTGTTTTAGTCTTTTATGTGCTCTGTTAATGTTGCTTTTTTTTTTTTAAATACATGCTAGTCTAACATTTCCTGCTCTATGCCTGCATCTTTAACAATGGCCAAAGTGAAGAAAACGCTACCTTTTTTGTTAACAAGACTTGAAATGTGTACATTTAAAGCCTTTTACTTTTTCCCTTTTTCTTTTGGTGGTTGGGCATTTAAGGACAAGGAAAAATACTTTTTGGGGCAAATCAAGAGCCTATATGAGTTCTAAGTTTAAAGCTGAAGTGATTTCTAATGCCAGCGTTACATATTTGCATTTTTCACATTTTAGAGGGAGTATATATGTATGTGTGTGCACGCATGCATGTGTATGTGTTTTGCTTTTTTATTTACATCAACTAATCAAAAAGGATAATTTAGAAAATGGAGCATGATGGGAAACAGTTTTTGACTTTAAAAAACAGATGAGTTGTTTTCATAAGTAGATTCCACTGGGGTAGAGGTATTCACCTTAAAACATAGGGTGAATAGATGCTTTTTAGGCCTTTTGTGTATATGTATGTTCTTTGTTTTTTTTCCTTTTGTTTCTAAACTGTTCATTGTATGGTTTATTCAAGGCTACATGCTTTTCTTTAATGCTTCTGGCTATGCATTTTCTCTTTTTACATACAGGAGTTGGGATTGGGGGTGAGTTGGATGTTTTTGTTGGGGGACTTAGTAGTATTGAGTCTCTTATAGCCCTACTCTTAAGCCTTCAATACTGTCCACTCTTTATATTTCTTTACTTTCAGAATTTATAAAAGCCCCCAAACTGCATACAATTTGAGCCTTTAAAACATGGGTAAAACTAATCCCACTGATGGGTTTGGATGGTATCTTAAGAAATGGAGATGCAGCAGAGCCCAACGTAATTTTTTAAACAGCAAGTTCCATCTCCCTACAAATCCTCTGAAGCTTTTACCCAAGCCCTTTCTTGCCTCTCCAGTGCTATTTTCCATCAGATGGACCTTAAGCATAATTTCTTGGACACTACTAGAGAGACTTCGAGGCAATAATAAAAGATCAGTATTAACCACCTATAACAGAGGTTTGATCATGCTTACTGTACAGTTTTTCCCCTATTTTAAAAAGGAATGTAATAAAATTTGTTTTTTCCATAGAATTAAATAATATTAAAATTGAGTGAAAGGTTGATTGTTGATGAATAGAATAGTATTCATCTGTGCAGTGTCTCATTTCACCTCAGAGAAAAGGATACATAAGAGGAGTTTGTCATTTATCTTAGGATATTCTAATTGCATTTAAAACAACTTATCTTGCACAGGGTAATTGGGGGACTCACATACATATATTAGTATCTCTGACTCATTAACAGAAAGAAATACTTGGTACTTCTTTCACTGAATGACCATACTGTGGAGGATGCATACTATTTGCTATAGAGAAATAAATGAGGAAGAAAGAACTGCCTAGTTAAATTATCATTCATATGTTCATGTAGAGACCATCTGGTTGCCATGTGTATTATAACACATACACTTTGAATAGTTATATATCACAGATATGTAGATTAATGCATTTAAAACAACCTCTTTATTGATGAAAATTTCAAGTTTGTGTTGGTGGGGTAAGGCATCAGGAAAAATGTAGTAAGCCATCTTTTAACTTATACCAAATTAACCAGCTATATTATAGGAAATATGTGAAATTAGTTCATTAGTTTTATTCACTATGTATTATGCATTCACATAATATTAAAACATAGCTTTAGCAACCAGTTTCTGGATTATACACTTACATGTTAGAAAGAAAAGAACAGTAGTTATTATCTTAGATGTTAAAAACATGGATATCTTCTTGAATTCCTTCAAAATTAAGGTAAAGAATAAGAGCAAATCATTCTGGAAGAACCCTAAGGAAACAGCAGCAGATATTTAGGTGAAAATTAAATTTATTTTCATAATTGTTTAATAACTTGTATAATCTTCATTGCTTATTATGAGGTAAAATGTATTTATCAAATATGTGTAATGATAAAATCTGAATTGTAAAATTTTTGTATATTGTTAAAATTGTAATTCTAAATTGTACTTCAAAAATAATTATTTCTGATTGTATTTATGTCACCCATGATGAAAACTGGACTATATATATACATCTAAACATATAAGTATGAACTATTCTAGTTAAAATTTTTAATAGTTTTTTTCTTTTTTGGTGCCTATAATTTCTGCTGGCTTTTCTCCAATGAACATTGAAATCTTTCTGTATGTGTTATCAATAAGAAAACTACCCTGGAACATTAGAAAAAACCAACAAGAGACTTGGCTTTCATCAAGCGCATTATCAGACTTTGAGAAGATACTGAAGGCATTGACTTTGAAAATCATCTCTTTTTCTCAAGAAGAAAGCAATGGAGAAGCAAATTTGCTTCATTCAGTGAATCCCCAGTTTGGGGGCTGGGGGGCTTAGAGACATTGTAAAATCAAATCTTGTGTTATATTTTTCTCCTGGCTCACTTTTTTTGAGAAGGTTTATGGGCTATTTGGCTGGTGAGACACGATCCCCTCCTAAGAAAATGTAGGTGCTCAGACAGGTAACCTCTGCTGCTACTGTTTTTATTTGTTTGTTTGTTTAATTTTATTTAAGATTTGTTTTTGTTGTACTAGGATTTTTTAAAATGTAATATATTGCAGGATTTATAACCAGGTTCACTGACTGCTTGCTTGCTTTCTTTTTCTTTTCTTTTTTTTTCTTCTTAAAAAAAAAAGCAAAAAACAAAGTTTTATTTAAAATACATTTAGGCACCCTTGGAGCTTGGATTTTGGAATGTTTCAGTAGTGGACAGAAATCTGCTGTTGGAATCTTCTAGTCTTCCAGGTTTAATTTGAAATGTTTTTAGTTTTATTTTGGATTTTTGTGTGGCATTTTATTTCCTTTATATCAATGCCATTTTGCCATGCTGTTTTGGGGTGGCTGCCTAACTCTAGTGAAAATTCTTTCTGTATTAACGAAAGTTTGGCCTTTGAAAATCCTTAATGTTTTGCATTTTTTTACATTGTTTTTAAAGAAATATTCTAACTGCTTGCACTGTTACTGTTCTTTACCAGCCTTTTCAGGAGCCAAAAAAACAAATACAAACAAACAAAAAAATACCCAGAGAAAAAACTTTCCTTCTTCCCCCTTCCTGATGATGAGTGAGAAGTATTGAGAACTTTCGGGGTCATTGCCCTTCTAAACTCCCCTTCCCCCAATAATGCAGCTGTATAATGAATGGTAAATGCACCGGTTTGGATTCAGGCACAACCGAGCCTGCTTGCAGGTAATTTAACTCTTTCTCCTTTCTTTCCACCACTAGGCTAACTTTCTTTTTTTAAAAACTTCTCCTTCTTTATGTACTTTAAAAAGTAACCATGGGTTTGTCATAATTCTCAATTAAAAATAAATATATCTAGCAAATAATACAGTTAAAGAAGAGCTTTTCTGGGTAAAGTTTGACTTGGTTATGATATACTCAGGACTTTCTTGGAATTTTGTTTAGCCATTTAGATGACTCCATTTCTTGAATATATGTCTATAATTAAATATTTCAGAGTGTGAATTTTTTGGCTTTGTTTTTGTTTTGGGTTTATTTGTTTCTTCCATTGTGCTACTCTGGCTTAAGCTTTTTCAGGGGTTGGTGTTCCGAATACACAGTGAGCTCACAGTATAAAGACATCAATTAGGAGTTGACAGGTATGGAAAACTAGAGCTTTGAAAGGTAAAATTAGGTTGTAGGTTATATATATGGTAAAAACCCAACAAAGCATTTGTTTTTCTTAGTGCTTCTCTTTCTGTGACATTACAAAAGTGAAAGGGAATAATAAGACAAAGATAATACAAAACATTTTAGTTCTTTCAGGAGGAATGTGATTTCAGAAGTAATCATTTTGGCGGTTCTAAGATACTAGTTCTAACAAGGAGATGTGAGCAGTTTGAGATGATCAGAAAATCATGGTTTAAACATTCAAAATTACAGGTTCGAACAGATAGGAGGGCAGTTCTGAAGTACAAGATGGCTAAGCACATTAACCAAGGACATAAATTGTCAGGGATAGGACTATATACCTTGTCCATGTTAATAGACTTTCTGTTAGGTAATAGACTAAACTATCCTCTCTGCTGTCTTTACCCCGGTCTGCCTACCCTTTCTTCTTTTCTCCTATCCTTTCTAAAGTTTTAGCTCTGAGCTTTTATTATTTTGGGGTATTACCATCTTTCTAATAGGTAGAATTTTAGTGAGAGTAATCAAGACCTTTTCAAGATAAGATATACTTCTGCATAATTTCATCCTGTGGCTTTAGACGTACTATCCAAAGAGGCTGTACGTCCAGCAAGTCACTAGTTAGTAAACAGGAAGTCTTGGCTTGGAATGCTATTTCTGTAGCTGAAGGAAGACATGTGATCAGTGATTAACCTGTTCTATGCTTCAGTTGACTCTTCTAAGAACAGTCATTCCCCTTAAGGATCTTACGACAAAGATATTTATCTGTTGAATTGGAATTTACTAACAAAGGGGTCCCAGCTGCGCTCATGAAAGAATTTGTGATGGATACTTAAAAAAAAAAAGGGCTTATTCAGGAGAGCCTTGTTCTCTTGCTGATATGAATGACTAACACTAGAATATACAAACTATGTGATTGTATAAGGCATGGAGAGTTTAACAACCTCCAGTCAGCTGCCTGTTGGAATACCACTGACTTGTTAAGAATGATCTTGCGTTTAGATATTACCATATTCATACCTACTAGGTGAGCCTTATATAGCATATATACCTGGCTGCTATTGTGGGGTTTGGGAACATGAGGGGTGGGTGAACTGTTGTTGTTTTAGGTTTCAGTCAGACAGACATCCCTGTGCCTCAGTTCCCAGAAGCACAGCAGGCCTCTAGGAGCATCCGTGGGAACGGCGCAGTCCTGACATCACCAACTCTCCTGCTCAGGCTCATCCCATATACAGAGGTCAAAGGGTGGGGTTTGAGACTGGGGGAAGGAATGAGAAAGTAGAAGCAGTGTCACTGCAGCGCCACTGTTAACTAGTCTTTGGTGCTTATGTCAGTGTTTGTTTTATTTCCTAATTCTTTTAAAGTTGGCAAAACTGCATATTTTTATCTCGATGAAGTCAGTGGGAGGGTGGAACAAAAACAAACCATTACTGCTATTTGTAGTTCATTGCCAGAGACTGTCCCTTAACAGCTAATAAAGAATAAATTTGGAACGTAGACCTAGATGACAAAAAGAATGGGAATAGAAATGAATCCCAGGATTTTTTTTTTTACCTTGTCCTAACAAAGTGGCAGAGCCAAAGTAGAATCCCAGGATTTTAACAAACAGAAGACATTTATGCTGTGTTAATCCCCAGTTCTACAACTGCTATTATATTTGTCATTCTGTCTCCCTTTTTCCCCTAATTCTTTTATGTATGTATAGTTTGAGGAAATGTGCATTTATGGTTAGTTCTTTTTAGAGGACTTAATGAATTTATTGCTCTTTTGCAAAAAATATACCCACTGCTTATATGGGCATACAAATGCTACCCTATTTTAAATGTAGGTGGCGTATGTGTTCGTGTTTTAATGTATTCAGAGCCTTGGGCAATAAGCAGTCCAGAACATTGAAAACTCAAGCAGGTAAAGCACCTAACACCCTTAGTTTCTAGAGTTACTTTAAAAAACTTCTGCATTGCTGCATCTTCCACAGTTCCTTGGGTAGTCTCTGAACTTAAAATTTGTAGGAGTTGTAGACTGCCTACTTCAAATGTTATGGTATTTATTCATAGATTGTAGGAGTAGGTAAAGAAGGAAACAAAAAAAAAAAATGGCTTCTTGAGATGGCAACTGCTGAGTGGCTAAATCTTTCCACTTCCTTTCTTTTTACTTTTTTTGTAAATTTTCATAGTTTAGCATGAACATTAGTCATACAGTGTTTGATTTTCTGTGATTGGGATTCTTGTTTTTGATTTTTGGAGGGAAGGTCTTGGAGAAACATTAAAAAGTTGGTGTATATGCAAAAATACAAAATGTTAAACAAAATTTTTTCTATTTAATCTAAATAGTAAGCAATAATTTTTTCTATATACCCTTCGGCTGCAGCAGAGAATTAAACTGGTAGGTGGCAGCAGAGGAAGGAATTCTTCAGATTGATGGCTACTGACTTAAAATCTGCATAGGATAGAGCATGACATACCAACTGAAGCAAGGGGGGCAGAAATGGAAGCAGGATTAAGATTCCTGGATTTTGACTCTAAATGGTAAGTTATCTTAAACTAATCGTGTGTTTTTAGTCTGATAACAATGTTATATGTTATATGATTATGTACAATGACGTGCAATCATAAATGCCTGTAGGTTCTTGCCTGAGGTTGAATTGAACCTCACTGGTACATGCTCATTCTTTACTTTGAATAATAACTAATAGTATATAAGATTAGGATTTTCTCCTCAGTATGTTGGTCTATGTGAACTTTAATTATGGCAAAATTATACTGACAGTCTGATTTTTTTTTTTTTAATTTGTAAGAGAAATAAAATATGCATTTTTAAGAATTTTATAAAAACAAAAGGTTCTGGCCAGGCACCGTAGCTCACACCTGTAATCCTAGCACTTTGGCAAGTGGAGGTGGGTGGATCACCTGAGGTCAGGAGTTCAAAACCAGCCTGGCCAACATGGCGAAACCCCATCTCTACTAAAAATATAAAATTAGCTGAGTGTGGTGGCAGGCACCTGTAATTCCAACTTCTCAGGAGCATGAGGCAGGAGAACATCTTGATCCCAGGAGACAGACATTGCAGTGAGCCAAGATCGTGTCACTGCACTTCAGCCTGGGCGACGAGAAAAACTCCATCTCAAAATAATTAAATTAAAAATTTTTTTAAAAAAAAGACTCTTCCCTTTTTAGTGGGAGCTTTGGGAGATAACGAAAGAATATAATTGGAAAATAATTATTGGGGTTGGAGTGATCTCTTCCAACTGGCTGTCTCTAGATCAAGACTCATTTCCTTGTCACTGTGCCATGTTCCACTCTGCCATCAGTTCCACCCTGCCCGTTTACCTTTCTCTCTTGATTATCTGGCTGGATTTTCCCCTGTTCCTCTGTCTCTCCCTGTCTTTGTGCTTTTCCCTTACCTGAGTGTATTTGTAAGCTTCTTTCTCTCACACTCAGTTCTGAATTTTAATTATCCAATGTTGCAATTTTTCATCTGCCTGCCTGTTTTTCCTAAGAGAGTGTGTATGTTTGTCTCTTCCTCCCTCTCTCCCCACTTTTCATTTGCATTCTTTATTAGGATTTGACTAGACTGAATAGAAGAAATTAAATGATGCTTGGAAGTTCTTTAGAATTAAAGAATATAAATTTCAATTAAATTTATAATAAGATGCAGACCTGTTTATTCTCTCAACTACTTACCTATTTTAACTGTAGTATCTATTGTTTCTAGAAACCAAGCTGTATAAGATCATTTGGACAGAAATGAAAGGCATATGGTTCTTACTCTTTTTTTTAAGACAGGGTCTCACTCTGTCACCCAAACTGAATAGAGTGCAGTGGCATGAGCTCAGTTCACTGCAACCTCCACCTCTTGCATTCAAGCGATTCTTCTGCCTTGACCTCCTGAGTAGCCAGGATTACAGGTGCATACCACCACACCTGACTAATTTTTTCTTTTCTTTTCTTTCTTTTTTTTTTTTTTTTGTCATTTTAGTGGAGATGGGGTTTTGCCACATTGGCCAGGCTGGTCTTGAACTTCTGGCCTCAAGTGATCCACCTACCTCAGCCTCCCAAAGTGATGGGATTACAGGCATGAGCCACCACCTCTGGCTTATTTCGACAACTTTTAACTTCAAGTTGACCCTTGAGTTTTTTAAAGTCTCTAATGAAATCAGAAAATGAGCAGAGCTGTCAGTATTTTTAGAGACCTTCATATTAGAGAGTATCAAGTTTTAGTCTTATAAATGAGGGTTAAACTGTAACTGGAATAAATCTGTTTTTAGGGTGTATATGTGACCATCTTAGAATGTTTTTTATTCTAGTAAAGTAGCACACAGATAATTGTTTTCCATTTTTAAAGATGGTAAAAACTGTATTATCTAGAGGAAGAAATTATTAAAGAAGGGGAGTCCTGACTCCTGTTAATATCTATAATAACAGAATGAGCTACCAGCCTGCAGAGCCCTGCCATAGAAGTTAGAGTAATCTGAAAAGTTTAGCCATCTGATATAATCTTGAATTTGTACATAAGGAAACTAAAGTCCAGAGAAGTTGGTGACTTGCCCAAGATAAGTGAGCCAGGCCTAGGATTCTCGTCTCCTAATTGTCAGTCCAGTGCTCTTTGCATTGTATACCATGCATCCTCAAAATCTATAGTTACTGAACATGTGCTCTGCAGTGAGAGCTGCAGTGTCACAAAGAAAGTTGTATTTGTGCTTGTGGTTATCTAAGATAAGATGGGGAGTCTATTTAAGTAAAGGATATTAAGGCAAGTTGTAGATGACTGTTTCAGATAGTTTGTATGCAGAATTGTTTACATGTTTGGCATGTACATTTATTTGATGTATACAGCAAACATGTAATTTTGAATACATCGTGATTATAGGGTTTGACACTGAAAAGGTATCCCTTGCTGAATTAAAAAACGATGCGAAAAGGCCTTTGTTTTCCCTTTAACTTCTGGTCAAGGGAGAAGAGTGGATTCCTTATATCTAGTATACCATTAATCCTCATCTACCTTCCATTTCTATTCTGGAATATGAATCCATCTACAAGAAAGATAATCTTTTTATTCTGAAACTCCTGTTCCTTGCAGATTTTTAGGCTAGCAGTGGGTAAGTGGATCATTAAATAAGATGATTGTGTTTACTTGTAATAACAGGATGTATAGTAACATGATGCTAGAATAACTGATATTTTGTCTAAATGTGCAGTTTTCTTTTTCTTAACCATGTAAAAAGAGGAGCCCTTTATTTTTAAAAATGGGCTGAGTGCTGAAAAACATCATTTTTTTAACATGTTATTTCTTTTTTTTCTTTTTTGAGACAGAGTTTTGCTCTGGGTTCAAGCAATTCTCCTGCCTCAGCCTCCTGAGTAGCTGGGACTACAGGCGCGCACTACCACGTCCAGCTAATTTTCATATTTTTAGTAGAGATGGGGTTTCACCATGTTAACCAGGATGGTCTCGATCTCTTGACCTCGTGATCCACCTACCTTGGCCTCCCAAAGTGCTGGGATTATAGGCGTGAGGCACTGTGCCTGACCTAACATGTTATTTCTTTAGTGCAGTTTAATTCAATCCCTGGGAGGCTGGGCACTGTGGTTCTTATCTGTAATCCCAGCATTTTGGGAGGCCAAGTTGGCAGGATAGGTAACAAAGCGAGAGACCCTGTCTTTACAAAAAAGAAAACTATTAGTTTGGAACATAAGAACACACTGCTTCTGTTAATATGGTAAATGTCTAAAATTTTTAAAATAGTTTTATCTTAATTTTGACTAGTGGCCAGGCATGGTAGCTGACACCTGTAATCCCAGCACTTTGGGAGGCCGCGGTGGGCAGATCACTTGAGGCCAGAAGTTCAAGATCACCTTAGCCAACGTGGCAAAACCTCGTCTCTACTAAAAATATAGAAATTAGCTGGGCACGGTGATGTGTGCCTGTGATCTCAGCTACTCTGCAGGCTGGAACCGGAAAATCATTTGAGCCCAGGAAGCAGAGGTTGCAGTGAGCCAGGTTCGCGCCACTGTACTCAAGCCTAAGTGACAGAACTGTCATTTTGATTAACGTATAGAAATGTTAATGTTTTAGAACTGAAAGAAAGTGATAAACTTGAGTTTTAATCTGAACCAAAAATTGTTTCTTCTGTAACTTCTCTAAAGTTAACCTAGAACACAAAGAAAGCATTTAACTTGAATTTTGTTTGTCTGGACATATTGGCACAATAATTTTATTTTGTGTGTTCTACAAGAAATTTTTTTTCTTTAGAGTTTTTCTCTTGGTACAGTTTTTCCTGACTAAAATGAAGCACAATTGTCTGTTTTATAGGATTGCTAAGGAGTAATAGTACAGAGACATCTTCGTGATTATATTTTTTAAGTTACAAATCTTCAGTGTCTGAAATTGGGTTGATTTTTTTTTTTTTTTTTCTTTTAACATGTTATTTCTTTAGTGCAGTTTAATTCAATCCCTGGGAGGCTGGGCACTGTGGCTCTTACCTGTAATCCCAGCATTTTGGGAGGCCAAGATGGGAAGATAGGTAACAAAACAAGAGATCATCTTTACCAAAAAAACAAAAAACTAACTAAAGTGTCTTAAATAAGTCACGAAACTTGCAGATAAAAAAAAGGAAAAACTTTTTGGCTGTTTTGGTGTCAGCATCTTAATGAAGTGGAAAACATTATGGACCTATAAATTAACTTATGACTGCTTACTCACTAGAGAGAACAATTTTCAGGGAGTTAGAATAGTTTGTCCTGAAGGAGAGTCAAATAAATTTGGGAAATAAGGTTGCTCTTATAAAATAGTAATGGGTTTAGCTTTTATTTTCTAATTGTAAGAACATTAAATGTCTTCTAAGTCAGAATCAGAGAGTACTTTGTTAGCTAAGCTCACCAAGACAAATTCTTTGCTAATACAAAGCTGGTTATGGATTTTGGTAGTCTAATCAATTTAGAATGTTTCATTGTCATCTTAGTTGATTTTCTTTTCTTTTTGTTTTATCCAGGTTATAGAGACTTAACATCTGTGATTTAAGTAAGTTGTATGTTTTTCCCCCCTAGGTTCTTTTGAAGTAACCAGGATCTTTTTTGCTTACCCTCACTAACAGAATGGATGAAGATAGATTTGACTGTGTGCTTTCAAGTGGAGAATATAAATATACAGAACAAGAAAGCAGTAACTCTAATCTGTTTGATTCAATCTGTTTTCTAAAATAAAGATACCATGCACTGGAAATAAGATAGCATGCAGTGTGACATGTTCTTTTGGCAGCAGTTCTGTATACTCCATTCTTTATCAGTTCACTTTGGTCCAGGCATCGACTTGACAAACACAATGGGGGTATGGGCATTTTGAGACTCTATATCTCTGAAAAAACAAAACAAACAAAAAAACACGGTGCTGGGAATGGTGGCCCACGCCTGTAAATCTAGCACTTTGGGAAGCCCAGGTGAGTAGACCACTTGAGGTCAAGAGTTCGAGACCAGCCTGACCAACATGGTGAAACCACATCTCTACTAAAAATTATGTATATATCCAAAAATAAACCAGGTATGGTGGGACATAATACCAGATAGGAGGCTGAAGCAGGAGGATTGCTTGAAAAACCCTAGTCGGGTACGGTGTCTCATGGGTGTCATGTCAACACTGGGAGGCTAAGGTGGGTGGCTCACTTGAGCCCAGGGGTTCAAGACCAGCCTGGGCAACGTGGTAAAATCTAGTCTCTACCAGAAATGCAAAAATTAGCCCAGCATGGTGGTGGATACTTGTGGTCCCAGCTACTTGGGAGGCTGAGGTGACAGGATCATGTGAGCCCAGGAAGTCACACTGCAGTGAGCCATGATTGTACCATTGTACTCTATCCTGGGTAACAGAGTGAGATCCTATCTGGAAAAAAAAAAAAAAAAAAAAGATTATTCTCATTTAACAAATTTATTCTTAAAGCATACATGCTAGTGTCACTTTGGAGCCTTCAAAAGGCAGACACCAAGATGGAGTCAGATAGGCTAGAGACATATTGAGGGAAATGCCTATATAAGGGAGAGGGACCAGTAGGTAGGGAAGCCCTTCAGAATGCAATGTGATTCTGACACCTGTGACAAAGACAGAGGAGAGAACTCAAACCTCAGCTGTTCTGAGAGTCTGCCAGCCTGATGAGGAAACTCAGAGCAGAGTACCTATTATAGCAGTCCTAGATTGGACAGAGATGACCTGACTGCTAGTCTGGAGCAGCCTGGGGAGGACATACGGTTTTCATGTGAATGTTCCAACAAATCAGGAGGACTGGGCAGCCGGAGGCTGTCAGCCAGGTTTGTTACTTGCGTCCAGTTTTGAGACCTGAGTGGCACAACTCCATGGTAACCTCATTACACTCCTTAACACTGCACAGATCTGCTCTACACCTTTGGGTAGAGTAGATGACAAAGTACAATTATGCCTTCTCAGCAGTCCCCCAAAGTTAACTAATTCCAGCATTCACTCAAAAGTTCCAAGTTTCAAATCCAAATTTCTTGTGGAAATGAGTTCCTCCTACCTACGAGCCTGTAAACTCAAAACAAGTTACTTACTTTGAAGACACAATGGGGGTATGGGCATTGGGTAAACATTTTTATTCCAAATGGGAGAAATAGGCCAAAAGAAAGGGGTTACGGAGCCAATGCAAGTTCAAAACCTAGCAGGGCAGTCATTAAATCTTAGACTCCTATTCCATATCCAGGGCACACTGCTACAAGGGGTGGACTCCCAAGACCTTGAGCAGCTCCTTGCCTGTGTCTTTGCAGGGTCCACCCCTCTCAGGTGCTCTCACAGGTTGTTGAGTGCCTGTGGCCTTTTCAGGCTCAGGGTGCAAGCTGCAGGTGCATCTACAATCTGAAGGATGGTGGCCCACAGTGCCCCAGAAGGGACTCCATGTGGGGCCTCCAATCCCACATTTCCCCTCCACACTGCCCTAGTAGAGGTTCTGTATGTGGGCCCCACTGCTGCAGCAGGTTTCTGCCTGAACACCCAGGCTTTTCTGTGCATCCTCTGAAATCTAGGCAGAGGCTGTCAAGAGCCCACCACTCTTGCGGTCAGGCTTAACACCACATGGAAGCCATTTACAACTTGTATTCTCCAAAGTGGCATCTTAAGCTATACTTGTGCCCCTTTGAACCCTGGCTGCAGCTGGAGCTGCCAAGATGTAGGGAGCAGTGTTCCAAGGCTGTGTGGGGCAGTGGGGCTCTGGGCCTGGCCATTCTTCCCTCCTAGGTCTCAGGGCCTGTGATAGGAGGGGCTGCTGCATAGGTCTTTGAAATGTGTTCAAGGCTTTTTTCTCACTGTCTTGACTGTTAACACTGGCTCCTTTTTAGTTATGCAAATATCTCTAGCAAGTTGTTGCTCCACAGCCTGCTTGGATTCCTCTTTTGAGAGCTTTTTCTTTCTTTGACACATGGGCAGGCTACAAAATTTCCAAACGTTTATGCTCTGCTTCCCTTTTTAAATATAAGCTCCTCAGCCAGGCGCAGCTCCTTAGCCAGCACTTTGGGAGGCTGAGGTAGGTGGATCACCTGAGGTCAGGAGTTCGAGACCAGCCTGACCAACATGCTGAAACCCCATATCTACTAAAAAAATGAAAAAACAAAAATTGGCCAGACATGGTGGCAGGCACCTGTAATCCCAGCTACTCAGGAGGCTGAGGCAGGAGAATCACTAGAACCCAGGAGGCGGAGGTTGCAGTGAGCTGAAATTGCACCACTGCACTCCAGCCTGGGGGACAGACCAAAACTCCAAAATACATATGCAAGCTCTAACTCTTCCTCATTTCCATCTGAGACTCAGCAGCCTGGATCTCGCTGTCCATATTGCTATCAGCATTTTTGTCGCAACTGGGTAAATATCCAGTCTCGAAGAAGTTTCAAATCTTTCCTCATCTTCCTTTTTCTGAGCCTTCCAAACTCTTTCAACCTCTGCCTGTTACCCAGTTCCAAACTCACTTCCACATTTTCAGGTATCTTTATGGTAATTTCGCACTACTGGTGCCAATTTTTTTTTTTTTTTTTTTAGATTGCTATACAGAAATACCTGAGACTGGGTTATTTATTTATTTATTTATTTATTTATTTTTGAGACGGAGTTTCGCTCTTTTTACCCAGTTGCTGGAGTGCAATGGCGCGATCTTGGCTCTGCAACCTCCGTCTCCTGGGTTCAAGCAATTCTCCTGCCTCAGCCTCCCGAGTAGCTGGGTCTACAGGCACGCGCCACCATGCCCAGCTAATTTTTGTATTTTTGGTAGAGACGGGGTTTCACCATGTTGACCAGGATGGTCTCGATCTCTTGATATTGTGATCCACTCGTCTCGGCCTTCCAAAGTGCTGGGATTATAGGCGTGAGCCACTGCGCCCGGCCCGAGACTGGGTAATTTATAAGAAAGAGGTTTAATTGGCTGGTGGTTCTGCAGGCTGTACAGGAAGCATAGCAGCATGTGCTTCTGGGGAGGCCTCAGCAAACTTCCAATCATCACCGAAGACAAAGGGGAAGCAAGCACATCACATGGTGAAAGCAGTAGTAAGGTCGGGGGCAGATGCCACACACTTTTAAATGACTAGATCACAAGAGAACTCGAAAGACAGCACCAAGCTATCAGGGATCCGCCCCCGTGATCCAAACACCTCTGGCCAGGCCCCATGTTCAGCACTGGGGATTAGATTTTAACATGAGATTTGGGTGGGGACAAATATGCAAACTGTAACAGCCTATAATTCACATTTTATCATCAATGGAGCAAGCATTATTCTTGGGGCAAAACTAAGTAGATATTGTCTGTCCCACGTGGATGCACACTGTTTCTAGTCTTTTTCCTGAGACAGATGGGGGGAAAAGGCATTTACTAAATCAGCTACTGTATTATGTAACTCAGAATTAGTACTCCTTCCTACTGCGTTCAGTCATTGAGTGCGAGTAAACCAGAAAGTGGCCTCAGTGTCAGAACTGAGGTGGATCCAAACATGGCAGCTGGTCAAGCACGGTGGCTCACACCTGTAATCCAGCACTTTAGGAGGCCAAGGCAGACAGATCACTTGATGTCAGGAGTTTGAAACCAGCCTGGCCAACATGGTGAAACCCTATCTCTACTAAAAACACAAAAAGTTAAGTGGGCATGGCCAGGCACAGTAGCTCATGTCTATAATCCCAGCACTTTGGGAGGCCAAGGCAGGCAGATCACCTGAGGTCAGGAGTTTGAGACCAGCCTAGCCAACATAGTGAAACCCTGTCTCTATTAAAAATACAAAAATTAGCTGGGTGTGGTGGCTTGCACCTGTAGTCCCAGCTACTCGAGAGGCTAAGGCAGGAGAATCATTTGAACCCAGGAGGTGGAGGTTGCAGTGAGCCGAGATCACGCCACTGCACTTCAGCCTGGGCAACAGCAAGATTCTGTCTCAAAAAAAAAAAAAAAAAATTAGCCAGACATGGTGGTGCGCACCTGTAAGCCCAGTTACTTGGGAGGCCCAGGCAGGAGAATCACTTGAACCTGGGAGGCAGAGGTTGCAGTGAAAAGAGATTGCGCCACTGCACTCCGGCCTGGGGAACAGAGTGAGACTTTATTACCCGCCCAACCCCCCAAAACAAAACAGCAACTGGAGACCTAACAGGCAACCACATTTCTCACAGAGGCCTGCCTGCCTTCCTTTCTGTCTTCCTTCCTTCCCTCTCTTTCTTTGACAAGATTTAAAAAATAATTTTCATTATGTATGCATTAACATTGTTTTATTGTGGCAAGAACACTTAACATGAGTTACACTCAACAGATTTTTAGGTGTACAATGCAGTATTGTCATCTACAGGCACAATATTGTACAGCAGAGCTCTAGAATTCATCTGGCGTGATTGAAATGTTACATCCATTGATTAACAACTCCCCATTCCCAGCAACCAGCATTCTGCTCTCTGCTGCTGTAAGTCGGATTATTTTAGATACCTCATATAAGTGGAGTCCTGCAGGATTTATCCTTCTGGGACTGGCTTATTTGCTTAGCATAATGTCCTCAAGTTTATTATGTTGCTGCATAATCCAGGATTTCCTTTTTTAAAGCTGAATAATACTCCACTGTGTGTACATACATTTTTTAATCCATTCATTGGTCAGTAGACTTTAGGTTGTTTCCAATTCTTGGCTGAGAATAGTGCTGCAAAGGAACATGGGAGTGCAGCTATCTAAGATCCTGATTTCAAGTTTTATTTTATGTTTTTTATAAATACCCAGA